GCAATGACTTGAAGTTGAGAATGTGGATACCGCCTCACTCACACACACTCATTCTCAGACTGTAAAGAATCCCTCGCCCTCCTTTTAGCCGGCACATACAGTACCGTATGGCAAAGGTACACCAAAGGTGGGCTCGAGACCCAGGCTCCATCTTTCTTATCAGTAGCAAAGGCCAGGCTGCCTTTTACAACAAAGCACCACAGCTGAACCCAGTTCCTCCTCCTCCTCCTCCTCCTCTCGCAAACTAGTCATTCCACTCACTCAACACCGGCCAAAAGACAGAAAGGCTAGTTCTAGCCTCTCCTGGGAAGAGACAGCTTTCTTTTGTAAGTAAGTAAATCCATCGGTATTCTCTCTTCCAAGATGGCCGACGTTATGGTTTTCTACGAAGTCAGTGCTTACTTAGCTCACTAACAGCACTGCTGTTGGCGGCTGCGGCTGCTGCTGTGACAGGATTTTCAATGTGGTGTGTTTTCAAGCCTCACTCACTCATCCTTTCATTCCCAAACATTCAGCATCCGTGCACACTCCTCACTTCCGGGTTTTTCAAAAGATTGGAGATTTCCAGTGGGGGTCTCAGGTTATCATCCCAATGGTAACAAGATCTAAAAATAGATGGAAAAAAGGTCAATCTTTGAGATCACATACAGCTGGTAGAGCCAAACACCTCTGATTCCTACAATTAAGTGCTCAGAGGCCAGAAATGAATTTGTCAACTTTTCAAGGACTGATTATTTTTCTTGCCTTCCTATGTGCCATTTATTGGCACATCCGAAGGTGGAAGGGAAAGTAAAAAGATAAAATTCAAAATAGCCATTTTTACTGAGATCTGTAAAGTAAAATAACTGAGTATGTGAGAGAAAAATAAATTAAAACTACATTGCCAAGCAGGGGTCAGACAACTCTGACTTTGGATATCTTCCGTAGAGCTAAGCGCTAAGCAATGTCTAAAAGCACAGCAGTCAAGAAAGAAAAGGGCATGGGGAAGGGAATAGAGAGTAGAAAAGAGAATTAGGGGAAATGCCATTATTGAGGACTTTATTAAGGCCCAAAATGTGGGCACTTCAGTGAATTCTAGTTATAAAAGTTCTGTTCTTCATCACCACGAGGAATCAAATATTTGGCTCAAGGGAAGATTGAGGTTGTCTGACCCTTCCACTAGTACAAAGCTTAGGAACAAAGGCCCAGCTCAGACGCACTTATATGGCAAACAGTACAAAACAAAATACCAAATGAAAGGAAGTCTTTGTCAGAACAATCTAAATAAACGCTCCTCCTTCCCAAGAAAGTACAAGAAAGAGGGCAGTAAAGACAAGCTCTTACCAAGCTTGGTTCTTCAGTTTCCTCAGTTCTTTTGTTGCCCATGTAGCAAGGGTTTTTGCTTTGTTAGTCTTCGATCTCCGTCCTTCAGTTAACAGTTCATGGATCATTGGCCTAGCTTCTACTAATTTCAGGACATCCTTCCCAAATGCTGTACATAAGTCCCTGTGCAAAATAAACACACCGGAAAATGAGCTCCTGGCCTGATGTATTGAGCTCAGTAATTGTGTTAAGCCTCCGAAACCAGTGCTAAGGTAGCTATGGGTTTCTTCTATCATTTACTTTTTTAAACTGAAAGAAATCTTATAAATAGGTAAGTCTAACACCTGCCCTCAAAAGATGAAAAAATGAGGTCTAAAGAGGTAGAATGACTTACCAAAGTCAATCATCCCACCGCTATTTCATGGTAAAATCAGAACTAGAACCCAAGTCTTTGAGCTTCTCAAAACCAATGTTCTTTCTTTAAATGATGGTTCAGAAACCCTCAATTTGTTGACCAACATCAGAATATGGGATGGACATAGATCTAATGCTGCTTTTATACCTATTTCACTTCATAAGGAGTTTAGTGGGAAGAAATTAGAAATCTGGAGGGTCTGAAATGAAGCTAGTAGAGCTAATGTCTTAAATGAATTATTATTTGTGAGAACTCAAAACATGACACCATGGGTTCTATGAAAGAAATCTCCTCTGTACCAAAGTGGATAATTACCCTCTAGTCTACCCGCCTCCCCCAATTTTTTTTTTTAACATGTCCTCTCACTTTCCACCAGAAGCTAAACTCAGCTATTAGAAGCCAGGTATAACCTACCCTATCAGTCCAGCAGCACAAGCTACTACTCCGTCTGTGTGATCCTCATCCCCAGCAATGTGGTCAATGAAAGACAGAATAAATTCTACTCTGGGTTGTACGAGCATCACATCCGCTATAAAAGAAAGAGATGGTCTGATGAACTTGTCCCATATCTGGCAGGGCTATACCCCATTTCAAAATTTCCAAATACTCTAACCCCATCAGGCAGGTGTCAGGCTAGAGAACTAGTTGAATATAATTATACCAAATTATTCTTTCTCAGATTAACATGCCATTTCTCAAGTCAACAGAAAAAGCAGATATTCTTCTTCTATTAAGCTGATATAATACAGCAAAAACAAAGCCCATGATATCGAAGGGGTAAAAGACAAAAATCCCCCAATCACTCAATTCAGTTGCACAAGGAGGGCGTGTGTATCAACAACTGCCACTTAGGTTGGTGCAGATGCAATAGCCTTGCTGTATCCCATCCCTTGCAACGCTCAAGGAATGAGATAATGTAGCAAAGAAGGAGCAAAATAATGAAAGTCTGTATCTCCCCCCCACCTCACCAAAGCTCCTCTCTTCATAAGGGCACTGTTCCTCCTTCTCCCCTTCCTTAAGCAATAGGTACTAGTCTACAAGTAAGCTACAGAAGGAAAGACACAGCCCATCTGACTAAGTGCACCCTGGACTATGTAAGTTCGGTTGTATACTCAACGGTGTACGTTCTCCTGGTCTCCCTTCAATCCCTGGACAATTCCGGTATAGGCTTCCAAGCAGCTTTCCCTTAGTTCATTCAGATAATCCACCATGTCATAGTCTGACTGTAAGACACAAAGGAAAGAATTTCCATCATCTTGATCATTTTTAGTTATAGTATGTTTGTCAAAGTTCTACTCCTCTAATTGGGGCTGGACTGAAAGATAGCTTTAAGCTTACCTTGTCTACCTGGGCTTGGGAAGCCTGCTGAAGAGTATTCAATACAACCTCTAGGTATTTCTTAAACTCTCCACCAATAGCAAGGGCAATATCACCAAACACTGACAGAATCTGTGGCTTCACAGACCTGTGGACATTTTCATTCTGACAAGGAAAAATAACCAGGAAAAGCAAATTATTAAAAGTCACAATTTGTTCTACCCAAGACAAAAACTCTTAAAAAAAAAAAAAAAAGCAACTTAATATGCTGGGTGTATACACACAACTTAACAATGGTTACCTCTGGATAGAGGGATTCTATAGTTACTTTCCTTGGCATTGTACTGGTTTTCCTCTCCAAGTTCCATGCTTTCCTTTAATTTTATAATCTGACTTTAGAATTGTCTTGTGAAAATGAGTAATTCCCTTCTTCATAAGCCCACAGCCACACTTCGGGGCCTGACGCCTCCCCGGAGGCTGGCGGACAGCTGTGTGTGGCAACTCACTCACTCACCCCCAAGTTTTCCAGCAGCAGCTGCATCACCTCGTCGCAGAAGGGCAGGATGCTGGACTGCAGCGCACGGCACAGGTCTCCCACCAAGCCCACTGCTGCCAAGCAAACCTGCAGAGGAGCAAGGAAATGATTTCCCAACAGAAAAGACTGCCTGCAGGGAGGGGTGAAGCACTGTTTACCTAGCTGCTGGTCCTTTAACACTTGAACCTAGAGTCAAAGAAAAAAAACATCCCCCCTCTCTGAGATTTGCTCATTTTAATGAATATGGCAGGAAGAGAACTAAGACTATCAGAGATATCACTAAGAAAAGACAATATTCACCAGGGATGGTGATGGTGGAGGTAGCTGGCTTAGGAAAAAAAACAGTACTGCTATTAGAGTACTACTCTATTTTAGGCAGCTAATATCCTGCTTCTCACTGACTACTTTTGTTCAGACACTCAGAGCAACAAATAAAATAGCTCAATACTTGGGTCGATACACAGGGAAGAACTACCTGCGCTACAGGAAACCGAGTTTGTACCAGAATGACTATTAGGTATAAATGAGAATATAAATGTATTATAATTGATCTTTGAATGATGTGGAGGTTGGGGTTCCAACCCAGGTACAGTCCAAAATCCACATATAACTTTTTCACAGCACTGGAGCGTGCTGCAATGACAACAGAAGGTGGCTATGAGGTAATTACGGTAATAGTTCTGTTGTAGTTAATGTCAAACAATTATGATTTAACACTGCCTCTTTATTTCTGTTTACATTTCTCTTGATTGTCGCCATGTATGTTTGTGTATATAACTTTTGATAAAGTTTAACTCTTTATATTTATAACAGACATAATTTTGTGATAGTAAATGATAAAATAAATTAGTATCTACATGTATTTTATGCATTCATGACACAACTAATTTTCTTTTAATTTTTCAACATTTCTAGGCTATGTGATCCATGTCTGCAAGTTTTTTCAAACTGTTGCAAATCTCCAAAAAAAATTTCCAACGTATTAAAATGTCTGCATACAAGTAGACCTGAGCAGTTCAAAGGTCAACTATATTTTGAAATGTATAGCCTACCTGGTACTCAGCATAGTTTTTCAATCCAATGCCCAGGAAGGGTTTAAAGGCCTCCATGTACTTTAGGAATTCACCACCCAACACTGTAAAGAAACAAACTATTACCACCACAGGATATCACAGAAGTGAGCAAAAATAACCATGCTAGCAGTCCCAAACTCACCAGGTTGGGTGAGTTCATTACCGACTATCATTAAGACATTAAGGCTGCCTCAGACAAACCAAATTTTAACTGCTGGAAGGGCCTGACTCCACGCCACATGGCCAGAGTAGGATTTCACTCTGGCTCAAACAACCAAGTGGTAGGGCCTCCTAGGAATGTCAAGGTTAATTTGAATTGGCTGAGCTAGCAATACTGCCTCTTCATCTGATTATAACATGTCCTCTTGGAAGCCAGCTTACAACTGGGTCCCTAGGCAATTCCATTAAGGACTTACTTAAGCCAGTCAGGACAAGCAGACTGGGATGCATATCCAAATCAGCCACTCCAGGAGCCAAAATGAACCGCTGTGCTCCGTTAGGGTGGTCCCATGATGCCAGACTAGCTAGACACATGCTCTTTAAGCTAGAAATAGGTCTGGTCCTCAGGGGAGTGGTTCTCAGGTACAGGCATCGCCGGAAGAAGCATTCCAGGTTTCTAAACTGCTCTTTAATGTATTTTTAATGACCCTTCAAAGAGTCTTAAGTCTGATGTGGCTTCTCCTACTAAGTCATGTAACAACCAGAAATTCCAAGAACTCACTCATTGTTTTGTTCCATCCCATACCAGGCACTATGATGTGTCAACCCGAGTCCAAAGCATTACAACCCAAACCAAGAGGTAACAAGTTCCAGGAAAGAAAATAGAAACCTTTGCTTCCTCTATCCTTGATAGGAGCCAAACCTCAATAATCAAGTAGACTTTCAGGGAGAAAAGAAACCCGATACACATTAGGAAGATGATAACAGTTTCCCCCCAAAAGGTTGCCAATCTGATTTGCAAACTGGCTCCCCATTTACTTCAAGGAGATTAAGTGGCAAGGCAGTCATGCACAATTTTACAATCACATTCAATTTAACTTGAACTGACTCATGCCGCAGTAAATGAGAAAACAGAACTACGCTTTCCACAGTAAAAAATTCTTCATGGCATCGTAGCTCTTGCATTCTAAAAACATTCCCTGCCTGATGTCTGCTCACTGACCTTCCACTAGTGTGCTAACTGCCATTAGGGCATCCTCTTGTACTCCCCCTGATGCAGCCGTGCTTTGGAACATCCTTAACAGGGAAGCCATGACGACATCAGAGATCTGCAAAGCATCTTGATGTTGCACTTTCCGGAGAACATTCTGTGAAATGAACAAGAGTTCAGGATCTGTTGATTCCAAACCCTCCAATCAGAACACTATACTTAAAAAAAAAACAACACAATTAAGTCCCTTGAAATTTTTTCTTAAAAAAGCCAAATATACTGTCCTGGCTGGCATGGTTCAATGGTTAGAGCGTCAGCCTGCATACCAGAGGGTTGTAGGTTCACTCCCCGCCCGTAGGTGGGGCACGTGTGGGAGACAGCCAGTCAAATAGATGTTTCTCTCTCTCTCCCCACCCACCCCCTCCGTTTCTTCCCACTCTCTCTGAAAAAGCAATGTAAAAAATATCCTTAGGTCAGGATAAATATAAAAGGCCAAAAACACCTTTTATGCTCAAATGTTTTGTCAGTGCAAATCACTTGCAAAGTACATTCTAATATCCCTTCTATTTCCCAATTCAGAACACACACGATGATCTTCCATGGTGCATAAAACCAACTCTTTATGTCTGACAAACCCATCAGCAGCTTCCATATTCCAGTCTTATTACTTCTGCTTTAAAGAACATATCATATATACTGAGTGGCCAGATTATTATGACCACCCCATCAGTACAATGAAGTGAATTAGTTATGCAAATAATAATAATAATAAAACCTTGAGAGTATTTGCTTAGGAAGTTTTCAATATTCAATATTTTTGGAAGTGTCAATGAAGTACTGATGGGGTGGTCATAATAATCTGGCCACTCAGTGTAGTTCTTATTCATAAAACAACAATAATAACAACCCTTCATATATCCTAATGGTCAAGATAACGGTCAAGAAACAGTCTTGATAAAATGAAGCCAACCTGCCTTTTCCTAATTTAATATTCCGCCAACTTCCCTCCCTTAACCTTTAATTTGTTTCAACTAATGTTACTAAATAATTCCTGTACTTGTCTGATGAATAAGGAAACACCTCTTAACAGTCATGCTTTAAGTTTGGCCCAGCCAGCATGGCTCAGTGATTGAGCATCAACCTATGAACCAGGAGGTCACGGTTCGATTCCCAGTCAGGGCACAGGCCTGGGTTACAGGCTCAAACCCCAGTGCAGGGCATACAGGAGGCAGCCGATCAGTGATTCCCTTTCATCATTGTATTTCTACCTCTCTCTCTCCCTCTCCCTTCCTCTCTGTAACCAATAAAAATATATTTTAAAAACATTAAGTTTGGAGTAAGAGAAGTAAGGTTACCTAGTAAGCATCACTCAATACTAAAATCTAGTGCCCACCTAAGGATCGGGCAAGTTCCAGGGTTTTCCTGTTCTTTAGTAAAAAACCCTCAGCCACTGCATGACTTGTCATGAGGAGTGACATTTGAATTATCCCGGCTTTTCAGAAAACGGCTACTGCCAACACTAGGTATTAACTCAAGGTATGATGGTAGAGACTCAAGGCTTTATTTTTAGCTGGGTGAATTACAGCTGGGAACCAAATCTACTGGACTACACTGGGACAACCAATGAAAACCAAAGACTAAAAGTTGCGCCGACGCTAAACAGCTGTAAAGAAGCATTCTTATCAGTCTGTTGAGATTTTTGCTTTCAGGTGTATCCTGTTCAACTCAAATAACTCATAAATTCAAATAAACAAAAAACGCTGTATAGCAAGGAGGACCATCATAGCAAGGAGGACCATCATAGCAAGGAGGACCATCATAGCAAGGAGGACCATCATAGCAAGGAGGAGCAGTTTTCTTCCCGACAGTGTGCAGAAGACAAATGCCTTCTTGATGGAGAGAGACAGGAAAATGAAAAACTATTCTGCCAATCCTTCAGAGAAGTTTCTCATAAGCATCACCTGCACCATTTCAGAGTTCAGGGTGCACATAACCCTGTTATCCTGGGATATGATTCTCTTCCCTGGAGAGTGCGACAGGCCACCATCATACCTGAAGAGTTGCGCAGAGTAAAGACTGAAGGTCATTGAACTGGATCCTGTCCGATGTGCTCTGGATATGTGACTACAAGGAAAAGAAGATTATCATGCTCTGAATAGATACTTTTTAAAGAGGCTCTACGGTCCCTCAATGTTTCCATTTTTGCTGGGTTTGCCAGGACCATTAAATAAGCTTTACTGATGCTAATGTAGGAAAGTAAGTAAAATGTAACCCATGTGCCCTGGGGTCAGTAACTCAGTTGTTTAAAGCAGCTGTCTCCAACCGGTGGTCGGCGGACCACCAGTCCGTGAGGTCCAAAAGGTTGGCAACTGCTGAGTTAGAGCATTCTCCCGATACTCCAAGGTTGTGGGTTTGATTCCAGGTCAGGGCACTTACAAGAAGGAACCAATGAATACATAAGTGGAACAATAATTTGATATTTCTTTCTCTCTCCCACAAACCAATCAATAAAAACAAACAACAAAAAACACCCCACACACATTTATGAGTAAACTGTGACAAGCAATGCAAACTTTAAATTACAACACTTCTTTGCATAAGCATTATATCTTCCTGAGAAAATATATACTTAACACCGAAAGAAAGAACAGCCTTGAAAGCAAAGCTGTGTTAGAAGTACTGCACCCTTTCTGCCAACAGCCAGGAACGCCCTAAGTCTCACCTCCATCTGAAGTACTTGTTGAAGTCGCTCCATGATGACTAGAATAGTTTTCTGAACTGCAGGGTAACAATCCTTGACACTGTTTTTCACAATTTCCATCAGAGATTCATATGCAGAACTCCTCAGATTGTTCTGGTGTCCATCAGGTCTGCAAGCAAAAACCAGCAAAAATCATAAAGTCCCAACTGAGAAAGAACAGAGAAATTGGTATAATGTAAACATTGTTTCATCAAAAATAAGAAATCAGGCCCTGGCTGCTATGGCCCAGATGGTTGAGCGTCCTCCAGTGTACCAAAAGGTCACCGGTTCAATTCCCAGTCAGGGCACATACCTGGGTTACGGGTTCGATTCCTGGTCAGGGTGCATGTGGGAGGTGGCTAATGTTTCTCACACAAATGTTTGTTTCTCTCTCTCCTTTCCTCTCTAAAATCAGTAAAAATATATCTAAAAAATTAATAACATTTTGCCATTAAAGAACTCAGAAACTGATATGGTGGCATACCTATTTGAGTGTGGCAACAAAATACAGCCAGGAAATAAATTTTCAACCTTTGAGCCAATGACTGTGTTCATTATGGTCTCCAGACCTGGTTAAACTACTGAATGGCCTTTTTTGGAAATAGGCTATAATTATAAGAAAAAGTTAGATAAATATGATGAAGAACCTATGTGGACAATTAAAGAGGTTGCCTGAGTAGCTAAGAAAAAGGCATCTAAAATTTCCTCATTAATCTATGAGATGCCTTTATATATAACTTTGAACAGAGAAGTGGAAATAAACAAGGTAAGCCTGAAGAACTTATATATAGCCCCCTTCCTTAATGGTTTCTTTTTCTTTTTATTCTCTCTCTTATTTAAACAAATAATCTACTATAGGATTCTTCTAATTCCTCCTATTATTATGTTTCTATGACTAGGTCAGACAACCCCCCACACAGAAGGCAGGAGTTGAATGCAGAGACACCTAATAAGAAGTTACCTGTCCATGGTCTCCAGGAGCTTCTGAACTATTAGTTCAAAAGAAGAAGACAAGCAATAGGTAGCTGGTTCTTCCTGATCATCAGCTACATCTTCAGCTTCATAAGCAGCTTCAGCCAGACTAGAGAAAGCCTTAAAACCAAAGAGAGTTAATACTGGTCCTGCAAAGAACCCTACCCTAGGATCACCTCATTTTCCCTTAAGATACCTTGGGCAGTGTTCCTCTCCAACTGATCTTAGAATATATCAATGCTAGTGAATTCTCAACTTTTTCGGTCAAGGTCATCTCAAAACAACATTTTATAGGGATCCTTAAAATTAAATGTTTACTTATTTATATATGTTTGTGCGGCCCAAAACTCTCTAAGCAGCAGAGTACTTTCATCTACCACAAATGCCTGCCACTTCTACTTCTAATCATAGAAAGGCTTTTAGCCCCCCCCATTTCCTTATTTGAACTTCCTCCCCCACACCCCCAAATGTCCCTAGTGAACTACATTCAGCCCATATTGACTCAGCACTTACACCGCCTACCTTCCTTTCCTCTTGTCCCCTTCTCAGCAATTGTACTTTTTGTAGCTAGCAACTCTCTACTTTAATCTAAATTTCTTCTCCCCAAGCAACTGAAGAAGAAAATGGAGTCCAGATAGTTTTCCCACTGGGTTAGCATGACTGTTTTAAATGGTTGAGGAACTGAACCAGTCACCATGAGTCAACAGCTCCTACTGGCTAATGCAGTTGACATCTCCCCCACATTTAATTGAAGAAATTAGAAAGGAGATGCTATTCAGAAAAAGCATTCCAGGGAGGCAGACCCATTTCTCTCCCACACCTCATATTTCCTTGCCAATGATTTAGCCAAGATCCTTATCTCACCAGGAAAAATTCCCTTACCCAGCACACATTTGAAGCCACTCAGCTTCATAAGCAGCTTCAGCCAGACTAGAGAAAGCCCACTGGGTTCAGCACTGAGGCCCTCGATCAGACACTGCAGCAGGGGAGTCAAGTAGACATCATTGATGGCAGCTTCAGGGAGCAGTTCACAAATTCTGCCCACAGTCCATGCAGTTGTATCTCGAACAACTACACTGGGGTCTTTCATTAATTCTATTAGGGTGGGCATAGCCTGAAAATACAATATAGTTATTAGCAAGGCAAAACAAAGATTAAAACTCATGTTGACTAATACCTCAGAAGAGGAAATTCTAATGGTTAGGTTTTAACTCAAAGCATCAAGATGGTTTTGTCATTTTAAAGACATGCTTGTCAAATATCCATAATATAATAAATAAAAGTAAGTAAAGGGAAAAGTCCTCTCTACACCAAATTCCAGTATACAGTTTTCTTCAGGATTTGGTGTGACTTTTCAGCAACAGTCCTTACTAAATTACTTAGGTTGAGATCCTAGGAAGCAGCTATGATGGCTATATTTGACTATATACTGAAAGGTTGAGTTCTCTACATATTAAACTCAATTATAATGGACTTCTATCATCTTAAATAGCAAAGTAAGTACAATATTTCCCTAAGAATTTTCATTACGTAAATGTCATTTTGTCCCAGGGACAGAACAGTCACATCGTTAAAAATTACAAAGAAATGTTTATGATACAGTATTAAGAGAAAAAAACAAGTTAAAAGATTATTTGCACAGTAAGATCTCCATCCAGTTGCACATAGTATATTCATACTGAAAATAAATATCAAGAGTTAGAATGTTATCCCTAGGCAAGGGAATTAGAGATGACTTGTTCATTTTGGCCTTTTCTGCATTTTTCAAGTCATGTCTTTTGTAAAAAAAAAAAAAAAAAAAAAAAAAAAAAGTTAAATATATTTTTTGAACATTCACAAAGAAATATGTTTTACCCTTCATTGGCAGCAAATAGCTATCTAGAAATAACTTTTGTGGGTGACTACTTACAGCTTTGTTTTTTAAAATAAAGGCACACTTTCAAGCAAATAATTTAAACAAACAATAAATATCTCATTTCCCACCCCAAAACTTCCTCAGCTTCACCTGTATAACTAGTGGTTTGAGCTGATTGGGCTCTGGTCCTTCCAAGATACAGCCAAAAGCCATCACTGCTGCATCCCGGTACCGCCAATCAGGGTTCTTGATGTGTTCTTTAATGAAGGGGAGGACATGGGGGACAAAGTCATCTTCACAGCAGGTGGCCAGAAGCATGATGCACACCCCGGCTGCTTTGCAGGGATTCCAGTCGTCGTCATCATCATTTTCATCCTGGAGAAAGAATGTAGCACTAGTTAAGGTTTTGCTTTAAAAAAAAAAAAAAAAAAAAGGAAAATCACTTTCATTCACAAGGTACTCTGGCTATTCCCAAATGTCATTAGAACTTAAGCTACGTGGATGAAAATAAAACAAAACCTTTATATTTTACTAAAGGCCTGGTGAATGGATTCATGCACTGGTGGGGTCCCTAGGCCTGGCATGTGGGGATCGGGCCGAAACCCGCTCTCCAACATCCCCCGAGGAGTCCCGGATTTCGAGAGGGTGGTTCTCGGGTGACCCATCCTGGAATCGGGCTCCCTCTTCTTTGGTTCCTGATGTATCACCTGAGAACCGCAGCTGCCAAGTCACTGCAGCTCAGCAGCTCCTGTGTTGAGCATCTGCCCCCTGGTGGTCAGTGTGTCATAGCTACCGGTCGGCCAGTCACTTAGGCTTTTATATATCTACTAGAGGCCCGGTGCACGGATTTGTGCACTGGGGTGGGGGTGGGGGAGTGGCGAGAGAAGGCACTCAGCCGGGCCTGTGTCCTCTCACAGTCCGGGACCCCTCGAGGGATATCTGCCTGCCAGGGGGATCGTGCTTAAGCCAGCAGTCAGACATCCTTCTCGCAGTCTGGGGCTCTCGCAGTCCGGGACCCCTGGCTCCTTATCGCCTGCCCACAATGGAGGTGGGAGAGGCTCCCGCTACCACTGCTGTGAACCCGGCTTCTTCCTGAGCAGCGCTCCCCCTGTGAGAGTGCAATGACCCCCAGGGGGCAGCTCCTGCATTGAGCGTCTGCTCCCTGGTGGTCAGAGTGCATCATAGCAACTGGTTGTTATGCAGTTCAGTCCATTTGCATATTATGGTTTTATTATATAGGATAGCTGCCCCCTGGTGGTCAGTGTGTGTCATAGCTACCGGTCGGCCAGTCGCTTAGGCTTTTATATATATAGATGCTCTTCCACAAAGATTCATCACAGCACAGACTTTGTTAAATAAGATCCAGGTGGAGGGAAGAGCCACTGGAGTATTACACAATGAGATGAACAAACTTCAACTACATCTAACAAGAAGAATGATCTCAGACTTACAGAGTAAAAGGCAGAACAAAAATGTATATGATTCTAGTTATATACATAGTTTAAGGTGCCTATGCAGTTTCAGATAATTACATACCTAAATAATGATTTGTTCCCAAACCAGGAAAGTACAACCAAAATATACAAAAGCAAAAATACTAAGGTCAAAAGATAAAAAATGGCAACTATAAAACTGAGAGATGAGATAAAGTTTTAAGGGAACACCTAGTCCATTTCAAACCAGACACATTTCCACATATCTTTTGAGATTGAAAGAGTCATGTACTTCCTCAAAACAAATTATACTCTTGTGTACAAAGACATTTTGCTGGAAGTTATAGCACTGCTGCCTCAGAGCACTAGCACTGCCAGCTCTTTGGTAACATTTTACATGCACCAGAAGAGATGAGGCAATAGAAACAATTTTCCAAAACACCTCACCAAGGAAAACTATAAGGCATAAATTCAAAAGGGAATGATTGCAACCAAGATACACTTCATATAAAAGAGTTTCTATATTTACTCATTAGATCCACTTCTTCATGAAGTCTCATTACTTGTATTTGAGTGGCTTAAAACTTGCACCTCTATCTTCCCAACCTTTCTTCACCATAACATTTGTAGCTCAAGTCTCTTCTGCTAGTTTGAACAACGTAGCACTCAGGAAATCAGAGCAGTATGTGGTTCATTCCTGCTCAAAACTGCAAAGTTCTCCTTTACAAACAACTCAGAGCCTAGAGGATCTTATAGATCCAGCTCAGCAGTTCCCGAGTCATCTATATCAGAATATCAACCAGTTGAAGAGTTGCTGAATTCTTTCTTGGAAACTGTTCCACAGCAAACCAACCCATAACAAGGTTTCATCACTTACCTGGCTAGAATTGGAAGGTAACTCACCTGTTTAGTTAGTGTCTGTGTGAGGATTGGAACCAGGTACTGTAGTGCTCCCTTGGCATAAAACTTGCTGGTGTGCTCAGGGGGCCGTCCTTGTTCTGCTGCCTGAGGACAAACATAGAGCAAATTCTGGATGGCAACAAACAAGCTATGATACTAAGGCATACAATGAGAGCCGCCCAGGGATCTGTACAGAAATACATGGAACAAATGGTAACATTTGTTCTGATCTTTGAAGGCATTTATTTTTTGGTCTACTTCAATGAGATTCTTTTAGGCCTTAAAGGACCAAGGCAATCTTAAGAATTATGCTCTTTTTTCATAAGCTCAATTTATATTAACACAGTGTCATCTGTGACCTTAAGAATGCCAAAATAAGATTTGTGCTTTTTGAAGTACACGAAGACAATCAAGATGGGAAACAAAGATTCCAAGTGCAGAACTAACTCCTTTTTCCATATCTAATTTCTTCATTGAAGTTAGTAAACTATCGATTTCTACATCCCATACTTGCATTAGGACTTCCAAAAGGAAGTACTTTAGCACCAGATGTCACTTTGTTAAACTGTGATTGCCTGCTGCCCCCTTGTGGTCACAGTACTAAAATGAGTATTTATAATAAATCATGCCAGGCTGATTGGGGAAAACATGAGATGCCACATGATTGATCCGTCTCCCTCATAAGTGGCTTTGGCTAGCAGAAAGACAGCTGTACAAATGGAGATACCCACCAAGTCCAGTCAGAATAAAGCTTTCCCAGAGGAGAACAATCATACCCACAAAGGAGATAAATCCCCAAAGCCCAGTCAGAGTAACAGCTCTCCCCCCTAAACCAACTGTCTTGTCTCCCAGGCTCACCTCTGAAGCCTCAATGGCCAAATCCATTTCCTCATCACAGACATTGGACCAGAATTCTATCCCTTGTAGGGCCACTTCATCAATATCACTTTTCATTGCTTCAATTGTGATCTTAAGAGAAAAAACATGGCAACACAGGCCCCACATAAGTGCTGGTTCAACCCCCTCCTCTAACCACAGACATTCAACTTTCAAAAATGTAGATTTATAAAAGCTGTCTGAAGTGAAAGGTAGAAAAAGAAAACAGATTTTTAAAAATATACTCTTTTTACCAGCAGAAACAGCCAAGCTTTCTTGGCACACTACTAATGAACATAAACATAACACTGGAACTCAAGAAATTTGCTTGATTTAATAATTTCAAGTAAAAAATTATAGAAATGACAAAAAAAACCCAAATAAGAATGATGGGCTCTGCAATTAGCTACATGCTCAAACACATAAAATAGAAATACTTACTGCAAAAAGAGCAGGACCCATGTATGTCTCCATGTACTGATAATACAAGGACATTATTTTCACCAGATTCTGTAAGGCAGCCACTCGAACCTTTTACAAAGAGCAGATTAAATGGTTTACCATTTAGTTTAGTTAAAAAGGCAATTAGACAAAAGTAACTACTTCACTCAAATGGGTCAATAACCTAAAGGGTCAAGCTAGGTACATTTGGGTTATCATTCCTCCATGTAAGCCATAGCAGGACAAAACTCACTAATACCACTTAGACTAGATCAGTGGTTCTCAACCTTCTGGCCCTTTAAATACAGTTCCTCATGTTGTGACCCAACCATAAAATGATTTTCGTTGCTACTTCATAACTGTAATGTTGCTACTGTTATGAATCGTAATGTAAATATCTGATATGCAGGATGGTCTTAGGCAACCCCTGTGAAAGGGTCGTTCGACCACCAAAGGGGTCGCGACCCACAGGTTGAGAACCGCTGGACTAGATGTTACTTCAAGGGTCAAGATTAGGTTACAGCAACAGCAAAGCTGTTTCAATGGCTACACTGGAAAACAATCAATTAAAAAATTACTGCAATTAAGCAGCAAGGTGGATCAAAAACCATTTCTCCCCTAAACCCTTTCAAGATGTCAGCTTCTAATATGTCAACTTTCCAAGTCCTATTCTTTCCTTTTCTTTAATGTTGAAGAAAAATTCTTATTGGTCAAACCTTATTTCTGAAGTCACCTGATTCTCAACATTTCAAACTACAATGCTAGAGTTGGCATTTCCTAGGAAAGAAGACAAGACAGATAATTCAATGACCTCATACTTACCCTCGTATCTGGACACTGTGTGGCTTCACAAACCACCTGCATAATAAAGTGCCTTTCGGACTGCAGAAATAAAAGGGAATTAGAAGAGTATAAACCATACATATGAAAATTGCTAGGCTATTATTTCAAGAAAAACCTTACTCTCTCCGGAACCCACACAATCCTGGACCAATCAAGCAGCTTTACCTTGACACAGTAATAGCACTGTGAAGGCTATAGAGTTTGCCCCCAGTGTCTACTATATGACCTGCCCTCAAAGGAAGTCCCACCCTGGCTGGTTTGGCTCAGTGGTTGGAAGGGTTTCTGGTTCGATTCTTGGTCAAGGGCATTTACCTGGATTGCAGGTTTGATCCATGATGCGTGCAGGAGGCAACCATTAATCTCGCATTGATGTTACCCCCACCCCTCCATTCCACTCTCTAAAAAAATTCCTTGGGTGAGGATTAATAAAAACAAATAGCGCACCTACAGTAGGAAAATCTGTTTCTTTGTATTTAAAAATTAAGAGAATTCAAAACATCTGCTTTATTTCAGAGACAAAACTGGTTTCCTGAAAGGTGGCAAATCCACATCAAATGTGGCAAGATATAGAATAGAATAATGAATTTTGCTATTGTCCTAAATCATCTGAAATCTAAAAGGAAAACCCCTATTTTCTAAGCAATTAGAATTTCAGTTTGCTTTGGCCTTCTTTAGACCTCCCTTCTTTGTCCACTATAAGGCCAAGTAATGGCAAAAAGCCCAGTTAAAGTGCCAAAATATATACAAAAATACTTTTAGACCATATGATCTAGCAATTCCACTTCTGGATGTACATATAAAAGAACTGAAAGCAGGGTCTCAAAGATTTATATACACATACACCCATGTTGAGAGCAGCGTTATTCTCGATAGAAGGTGGAAGAAAGCTACCCAAATGTCTAGTGACAGATAAATGGATAAACAAAATGTGGTATATACATACAATGGACTATTATTTTTTCTGTTTTTATTGATTTTTAGAAAGGAAAGGAGAGGGAGAAGAGACAGCTAGAAACATCGATGTGATGTGAGAGCAGAACATCAATTGGCTGCCTCCTGCATGGCCCCTACTGGGGATCGAGCCAGAAACTCAGGCATGTGCCCTGACTGGGAATCAAACCAGCGACCTCTTGGTTCATGGGTCAACACTTCTGACACATGCTACAACATGCATGAACCCAAGACATTATATTAAGTGAAATAGAACAGTCACAAAAAGACAAATCAAATACTGTATGACCCACTTATATAAGCTATCTAGAGTAATCACAAAAACAGAAAGTTAAGTAATCATAGAAACAGAAAGTAGAAAGATTGTTGCCAGGAATAGGGAAGGGGAAAACAGGCATTGTTTAATGGATATAGTTTCAATTGCAAGATGAAAAAGTTCTGGAAATTGGTTGCAAAACAATGTGAATACACTTAACACTACTGAATTGTACACTTAAAAATGGGTAAGATGGTAAATGTTATGTTATTGTCTATTTTAACACAATTAAAAATAAGTAAATAATGAGAAAGTACTTTCAGGCAAAATAAACTTTGTTTATATATTAATTTTCAAAAGCACCTTCCTCAGGAGGTATGAAACAGTCCAATTTATTTTCTTTTTTAATCTTCACCCGAGGATGTTTTTTAAAAATTGATTTTATAGAGAAGAAGGGAAGGAGGGAAACACCAATGTGAGAGAAACATCGACTGGATCACACCCTAAGTGCCCCAACCTGGAATTGAACCCACCACCTTTTTGGTGCACAGGAGGATGCTCCAACCAAGCCACACTGGTCAGAACTGAAAAGCCCTAATTAAGGGGGTTGGGGGAGGGGATTCCCAAGTACACTTTGTACTGAAAAAAGGAAAATCCTAAGCTTAGAAATCCTTTAGGTCACATTATTCCCAAAGCCTGATGAAAAATGGCAAACACCTATTCCCTGGCCACCTCTCACAAACGTTAACTAGAAATGAATGCCTCTATCAACCCGGGACCTGGGAATCAACCTTGGAACCATTCTCATTCAAGAACTGCCTATTGTCATGTAAAAATTAGCAACCTTGTTGCCCAAACAGTGGAGTCCCACCCCAGCCTACTACTTCCCCATGTAATCCTTGTCCTACCCCATATTAGCAGCTGGTTTATGGGGGGCTTTCCCATACTGCCGGCAGTACTGGAATAAACACTCATATATGGTTTTAAAAAAAGGAATGCCTCTAAACAAAACAGTTCTTTCTAAATCATAAACTTAAAAAACTTTCATTTAACTCTAACTCTCACTTCTCACCCTTTGAACTTACCTCTTTGTCAAAGTTAGCTTTGGTGAACTCCAATGAGTTCAGGAGTGCGTTAGTAGCTGCTAGCTTCACATTATTACTAGGCTCTTCTTTCCTCATCCCCTGAATTATGGCAGTCAGAATCTCATTGGATTTATCTTGTAGCTGCTCTGGGTCCTGAAACGAGGAGAAGCGCAATAAATATAATAATGAACTCATGACTAATCAGCCGTCTTTTTAAGTGTAAAATCCACTTGAGTGAGGATAATGACTTTCTCTGATCTCTCGGCACACATTTCCATTTAGGGACAAAATATCCCAGGCAGCTGGTAGTCCTAAATTGATCCAAAACAAGTTGAACTCATCAACTTCATCTCTGACTTCTTAGCATGATTCTGGACATGAGGTAATAGTGTTTCCCCCGTTCTGTGCAAATGGAAATGGCAGTGTGATCCCTCCCCCTGCCCCCAGGTCACCTCTCCCAACTGAAGTATAGCTTCAGAACATCCGAGGGTCAAGAATCAATACCTAGGCACACATCTAGGGAATCTAAGCCCATGTCAAGTGCTAGGAGCTGCTTTGCTTCAAATCTGTGTATCAAAACAGACACTCCCCCAAAACACATACAAACCTCAGCCACCAAGGGTGGTAATTTCAGCAGCACCAACAGTCCTAGGAAGGCTGCATTTAATATACTGTGCTGTGGCTCCAATGACTAAACCAATTAAAAGAGCTGGCAAACTGTTTCTACAAACAGTCAATGAAAATGTAAAAGCACCCATGGTACACTGAGGATCATGAGAAAGGATCAGATCAGGATGCTCCAAATAAAGAATATCCTTAAAAGTCCAGAATCTATGTCTCTCCAAACACATGGAGTTTTTGACCCTCAAGTCTCTTAATTTTAGGACATGATTAACAATGTGAGGATATGCTAATTTAGGAGTCTAAATTAACAAATAAAGCAGTTCTACTTTCAAAACACTTTGCAGTAGCTTGGTTTTCTTTTTAATATGGTAAAGATCATCCTAATAAATGCACGTAACAACTAGATGAAATCATAGTTATGTACGTTAGATAACATGAGGCAGCACTTACGATATCTTGGCAAATGTAACCAATAGCTTCCAATGTCGACTCTTTCATGTACTCTGTGCTGTTGGGATTTGTGACATTGGCCACCAGCTGAGGAATGAGTTCTGGCCACTGGTTCACTGGGATCTCTGCACAAGCAATGCCAGCCACACACTGCGAGGCTGAACTAGGCCGGTAGGTTTCTGTGCCCAAAGTCTGCAAAACCTGCAAGCAACACACATACACCAAAAAACAAGATGAAAGATATTAATTTCTAATACTATTTAAACACCTCATATCCATCTCTGAGTTTTCTATAACACAAAAAAGTAGAAAATGGCATATACAGCATAAGTCAGTTGTCGGAAAAAGAAAAAAAAAAAAGCCAGCCTCAATACCAATCCCAGCACAATCAACATTGCCTCAGACCTCAGAAAAACAGCAACAAAAAACCCGACCCCTACTACCAATTGGAATTCTCCTAAGCCAGACAACTCATTTCAATGGTTCAACGTAGAAAAAAAAGCCGCACTTAGAAAAGAGATAGCATTAAAAGGCGAAAGAGATGACAAAATTAGTCTTCTATGTTCCTTGCCGGTATAATGGAAGGATGCTCACAGCTTTGTTTTGTGTAAAGGGTGGGATTTTAGGATGAAGGTAACTAACTCTGGGGCACTAAAGTGGATCTGATTCCTAATCTAACCTGATTCAAGGAAGAGATTTTCCCACTCATGAAATGTGGAACACACCTTCTGTCTTCTAGTCACTGACAATTTAGCACCCTGGGTGACTTTCATAGTAACATCATTAAATGCAGACATAAAGTTACTGATGTTACCAATACCTAAGAACCAATCCTTATTTAACTTCCAATTTGAAAGGATTTGATCTGTTTCCCCCCAAAATCAAAGAACTGTTCTCTCCACCATCAACAGGTACCAAGTACTAGTCAGATATGCCAATTAAAATGAAATCCACTTATCATTAAACATATCTTGTTTGAAATGGTATTCATACAAGCATTTATGTAATGGGTAAAGGCACATGTACAGACAAAGGCTGAAGCCACAATGGATCCAGGGTTAATTATTACCATGATCAACTTATTTAGTCAATGAACTAAGAATCACCAGTCCACTCAAAAGGCAAACAGTTAACTGTTCCTGGCATGAACACAGGACAAAGAGTAGCTGCCAATTATTCAGGCCAACTCTGCTGACTGGGTCAGGTCACTTAGTATCCTGCTTTGTAGCTAATAATAATGAACTCCCCCCAAATTTCCCCCTTATACAGTATACTCCCAACAGCTCTACCCAATAAACAAACAGTTCTGATTCTAAATAAAGGTTTTGCTCTCTAGGGCTACTAAAGCTAGAGTGCACTGTAACAGAACTGTATGTCAAAAGTCTAAGGGAGCCCTGACCGGTTTGGCTCAGTGGATAGAGCATCGGCCTGCGGACTAAAGGGTCCCAGGTTCGATTCCGGTCAAGGGCATGTACCTTGGTTGCGGGCACATCCCCCAGCCGGAGGGGTGCAGGAGGCAGCTGATCGATGTTTCTCTCTCATCATTGATGTTTCTAACTCTCTATCCCTCTCCCTTCCTCTCTGTAAAAAATCAATAAAATATATTTAAAAAAAAAAAAAGTCTAAGGGAAAGTCCAGCCGGATAGCTGAATTGATTAGACCGTCATCCCAATATGCCAAGGTTTTGGTTTGATCCCTGGTCAGGTCACATACAAGAATCAACCAATGAATGCATAAATAAGTGGAACAACAAAAATTGATGTTTCTCTCTCTCTCTAAAATAAATAAGAGAGTAGGAGGGGTAAAGATGAATTGTCCAAAATGGCAGGGGTTGAAGAGTCATTAACCCAAGTCTGACCAAGAGCTCCAGTCCAGGGTGCCTTTATACTATTATACTGCACCATCTCCTAGAACAGCGGTCGCCAACCTTTCGGACCTCACGGACCATCAGTGGTTCGTGGACCACCGGTTGGCGACCACTGTCCTGGAACATAAGTAGAGAGTACTGAACCCCATCTACCTTTACTTTTCTCCTTTTAAATTGCTTCAAGAATTGCTATTACTTCAGGTGATTTAGAGGCTACAAACATCCAACTCTGGAGTACTAAAAGTTATGTTTTAAAAAAACTAGGGTGACCCTAATGATAATAGGCAATAACCTGAAATAAGAAAAATAAGAAACTAGTTCTCAATTGTGTCCAAGACCCAGATTTCAAAAAATAACCACCAGCATTGAGAAAGCATTAATGACAAAAATGTGCTTCTTCTTTTCTTTTTTTTTTTTTACTTCAGAGAGGAAGGGAGAGGGAGAGAGAGAGAGAAACATCAATGATGAGAGAGAATCATTGATCAGTTGCCTCCTCCATGCCCCCTACTGGGGATCCAGCCCAGAAACCCGGGCATGTGCCCTGACCAGGAATGGAAATGTGACCTTCTGGTTCATAGGTCAACACTCAACCACACACAACCAGTGAGCCACACTGGCTGGGCAATAATTGCTATTTTTTTTTCTTCATGCACAAGGGCTCAACAAGTTCTTACTCAAATTTCAGAAAAACTTTTAAGTCAAGAGTGATGTTACAAAAAAATAAGTCAAGCCCTAGCCAGTTTGACTCAGTGGATAGAGGGTCGGCCGACACACTAAAGGGTGCCAGGTTTGATTCTGATCAAGGGCACATGCCCAAGTTGTGGGCTCGATCCCCAGTAGGGGGCAGTGCCAATCAATGATTCTCTCTCATTGATGTTTCTCTCCTTTTCTCTCTGAAATCAATAAAAATTTATTTTAAAAATAACAAATAAATAAGTCAGTTACAGTTCTAATCATGTCCTTTCTCAATTTGGGCGCTACAGTATAGGAATCAAGATTTGCAGTGATTGCCCTGACCGGTTTGGCTCAGTGGATAGAGTGTCAGCCTGCGGACTGAAGGGTCCCAGGTTCGATTCCAGTCAAGGGCATGTACCTTGGTTGTGGGCACATCCCCAGTAGGGGGTGTGCAGGAGGCAGCTGATCGATGTTTCTCTCTCATCGATCTTTCTAACTCTCTACCCCTCTCCCTTCCTCTCTGTAAAAAATCAATAAAATATATATATTTTTTAAAAGATTTGCAGTGATTGATGAAATAAACATTTATATCAAACTGAAGGGTGGATTAAAATGTTACTACATAAGCAGACCCAACGTACATAAAAATAGTTCTATATATTTCAAAGACTATACAAAATAAGTTGCCTTTCATAACTTAATTCCTTATCATGGATATATCTATGCCAGACTGGAGAAAGACATATATAACTAGGAAGAGAACTTACTGTGGAAAGGGGCGATAATTTACCTAATGCTGACACCTAGAACCAAGAAATGGCAAATATGACGTGCATAACCATACCTGCTCAAGTACACACACAAGAATCCCCCACCAGTTTTCCCTCAAATACCAAGGACCAATGATGCGTGACTTACTCACTCTGTGCCTTATATATGTAGGACAGTAAAAAAAAAAAGCTCCATTATTTTTTTTTTTTAAAGCAAAACACATCTGTCCATATATTCCAAATCTTTTGCTACATCTAAAAATATGAATTTCTAATACAACAATAAAAAGGTCACAAGAAGCCCTTGCTGGTTTGGCTCAGTGGATAGAGCGTTGGCCTCTGGACTCAGGGGTCCTGGGTTCAATTCCGATCAAGGGCACATGCCTGGGTTTCAGGCTCGATCCCCAGTAAAGGGTGTGCTGGAGGAAACCAATGATTCTCTCTCATCATTGATGTTTCTATCTCTCTCTCCCTCTCCCTTCCTCTCTGAAATCAATAAAAATATATATTAAAAAAAAAAAAAAGCCACAAGAACTCCATGATGCAGAATAACAAGGTACATTCAATTTTCCACAAAATCCATCAGCCTACTCTAAATGCCTTGATCAAGCCGAAACCGGTTTGGCTCAGTGGATAGAGCGTCGGCCTGCGGACTGAAGGGTCCCAGGTTCAATTCCGGTCAAGGGCATGTACCTGGGTTGCGGGCACATCCCCAGTGGGAGATGTGCAGGAGGCAGCTGATCGATGTTTCTCTCCCATCGATGTTTCTAACTATCTATCTCTCTCCCTTCCTCTCTGTAAAAAATCAATAAAATATATTTTTAAAAAAAAAATAAATAAATAAATGCCTTGATCAAAAGCCCGGTGTTTCTAAAGAAAGTTTTTCGTAATTTGCTAAATATTTGATCAAATCCCCATTAATGTCAATCTTGTTTCATAAATTCTCTGGGCTTCAATGGCCCAAGAAATGATTTAATTCACCTTCTGACTCCACATAGTAGCATGCCTAAGCCACCGAACAGCAAGAATTATCTACAGCAGAATTTCAACAAGAGCTGGGTGCTGGCTGACTAGAAGGACCACTTGGGAAGACAGGTTAAAAAATATCCCTGAGTCTCACACTCCAAATCAAAATTTCTGGAGGGAGCTTGAAAACATACTAACAAATTCCTTAAGTGATTTGGATAATCCAAGTTTGGGAACCATCAATTTGTATACTACAATTCTCCAGAGATTCTACAAATTCTGGCATCTACCTAAAGTTTCCCAAACTGCTGTAGTCTACCTCAGTTATCTTAAAAGAATTCCAATCCATTAATGGGAATGGACAAGCTGAAATGAGACAAATCAAATACCATTTTTATCTTCAAGTGAAGTTTAGGTACCAGAAACCTATTATACCATCAACTCTATCCCATGTAAATGATAAAAGAACTGACAAGAGATTTTTCTTGTTCCCTATGCTACATGACCAAAAAGAGACAAAAGTTACTTACATAATTCTTGACTTCCCGTCGAGCATTAGCATCAATTGCAAGCCACCTCTGCTGATATTGTGCCTTGATATCTGGATCTTTAGATGTCAAAGAGTTCTTGATTTGTAGACCTGCTGCAACTCTGGCAACTTGACTGTTTCCTGGATTTGCTAGCACTCTGGACAGTTCCACAAGGAAAGTGGGCTGTTAAGAAAGATGCATTGGTAAATGAATATATCTCTTGGGAATTCTGTCAATTGAGGATAGCTTATGAAGCATCAAAACACTGGGGAAAACTTAAATTTTTTTAGGACATATCATAATGCCTCAGAAAACTCCAAAATATCTACTTCAAGACTCCTGTAAAAATGTTACATTAAGGAAGTCATCTATCTACTCACGCAGCCTCAGCATTTAACAAGTTACAGATTTTCCTATTAACATCATTCTTAGTGCCCAAATCTTCACATTAGATCCCCCAGAATTAAAGCAAGTTTGACAATTTCGTAGTCAGAAGATTTTTTTTAATGTACCTACAACAGTGCCTGTTACTCAATACTTATTTGTTGAATAAATGAATATGTTATGACAGGGTAAAAAGTAAAAATTTTTTCTAACTTAAAAAAAAAACCAACCACCTTAGTCCAAATGGAATGACACTCACGAGTGGCTTTTGATCTCATAGAAGCAGGTAATCTTGTACGAGTGTGTATTACTTATAAACCTAAAACAGACTTAGGAAACAAGCCCTCTATTTTAGTTGTGAGTGTTCGTCAAGTGGGGAACAATGATAGGGGGGGAAATGACAAATACTTAGAAATTGTCATGGTAAACCTGTCAAAGCAAATGACTTTATATTTAATAGCCAACAGTTAACACACTAACGGCTCCTATACACTTTGGACTTGAGCTGTCCACTAAACACAGTGGATTCCCAAAAAGCACACTCAATCTTTTCTAAAACAGAGCCCCAAAACTACTCCCTTTGTTTTTCAAAAAATGTAACACACAGTCCTTTACCCTGCAAAAAGCTCTGTCCAAAAGCTTTTCTTTCCCTGAAAAGTTAACAGGAAAAACCAAAAGCAGAGAGTTTCTTACCACCAACAAGTTCTGCAATCACAGAAGACAACTCTTTAAATTATTTTATTAACTACATGCTACTAAATAATGCTAGCAATTACATAAGAGGCTTCTTGCAAAATAGCAAAAGCAGGAACAGAAATATACTCCACATGGAAATACTATCAATCTATACCAGCGGAAAAAAAAATCTTTTCTATGGAAAGTTAAGGATAGAAAAGTAGTAATGAAACCTATCACATATAAGGGCAAAAAAAAAAAATCACTCAAGAGCAGTTTGTATAAAATAGGCCTTTTCACTATTTTCTCCTTACATGATTTGTCTAACTAATGCAAATAAATACATTTGGTTAGTGTTATTTAGACGTATTATCTATTACCTTTCAAAGATGTCAAGTATGAGACACCTTCCCCTTTGCTCTCCATTCCAACAGGAGAGGGACACCAAAGAGAAACACGACCCGCACGGGCTATTTCAACCAATCCACCCCACATTTTTATGCAGAAGTCCAGACTCTAGGGGACTTATCGTCATTTTTCCTGTACCCCTTAAATGTGAAGTTATGAAAAACGAGGAACTTTCCTCTGATTTCATCTGGAAACAGGCCCCATCTTAAGGGTGAGCCTCACAGCCTGCTGTCTGGATACACATTCTCTACTCATCGAATTAAAAACACACACACACACACAAAAAAAAAAAAAACTGGGAAAGGAATAATCAGGCAGGTAAGGGAAAATATTGCCCGGAAAGGGTCAACAGGCATTCGGGTGCCAGACCGGTCTCTGAGGACACACACCAAGGGAGAGAGGAAAGGGGAGAGCTCGGAGAAGTGGGTGCAGAGAAGCACCGGGGCCACGGGGCAGGAAGAAGCCGGCCCGGGTCAGAACTGGGCGGGCAGCTGGGCCCGGAGCCTCCACATGGCCCCTAGGCCCGGCTCCCCCACCCCCACCCTTGCTGAACACGCAGCGCGGCGCAACCGAACTTCGCTTCCCTCCCTCTTTCTCCCTCCCGCTGCACCGCCGCCCTCC